ACCACTGAGCCACCTTCCCAGTCCCCATACTGACATTTCTCAACATCATGTGTAATACAACCATGTGTTATTTCTTTTAAAAAAAAGAATATATGGGGCTGGGAAGGTGGCTCAGTGGTCGAGCACTTGCCTTGCATGCATGAGGCCTTGGGTTCAATTCCTCAGTACCACATAAGCAAAAAGAAAAAAAAAGCTGGAAGTGGTGCTGTGGCTCAAGTGGTAGAGCGCTAGCCTTGAGCTGAAGAGCTGAGGGACAGCGCCCAGGCCCAGAGTGCAGGCCCCATGACCGGACCTAAAAAGAATATATGTATCTGTGTGTGTGTGTGTGTGTGTGTGTGTATATATACATATATAATATATATAAATATTTGGCCAGGTGCTGATGACTCATACCTGTAAATCCTAGTTAATCAGGAGGCTGAGATTTAAGGATCATGGTTCAAAGCTAGCCCAGGCAAGAAAGGCTGTGAGACTCACATCTCCAGTTAACCACCTGAACACCAGAAGTGGCTCTGTGGCTCAAAGTGGTAGAGCACCTTGAGCAAGAGAACTTGGGGACAGCACCCAGGCCACTAGTTCAAGCCCCATGACCAACCAAAAAAAAAAAATATATATATATATTATATGTGTTTGAAAGAAGCCTAGGAAATCATTCAAAGTTCGGCAATAATAAAAGAAACTATATAGAAGATATTATGAACCAAATACGTCATGTCCACATAGACTTCATTTACTTATTTGAATGTTTAATGGTGATTTTAGATTAACAAAGATAAGTTTAATTTTTTATCAAGGGAAATTGGTAGAGGTGGAATACAATTAGAATAATGGCAGTGGTTTTACAGTTTGTAAAGTTGAGAATTCTGATTTTTCATTGTTAAATGTTTAATTGTTGGAAATTAGTGACCTTCTGCTTTAAGAGATTTGACTTTGCTTTTTATTTTGGTTGGATTTACAGTAATTGCTGGTGCCTTCTGCTATGATGTAGTTTTGGATAAGAAACTGGATGAGTGGATACCAACCAAAGTAAGTATGTTTTATTGGAAATTTACTCTACGGTTTCCTTTGTTGAAATGATTCCTGTTGGGGTTGTTGAATAGTACTATATATTAAGAACTCTTACAAAATTAGAATCTGCTTATCTGTGTCTTATAGCTTTTTCAGCATTCATATGACAAAGAGGTATGAATGGGGATTACCTTTATAGTCAGGTGAGTGTGTGTGTATGTGTGTGTATATATGTATATAAATATAAATTATTAACTAAAATTAACTTAATTCATTATCTATGAAACCTGTTATTTTTTTAAAAGATGAAACTTAAATGCTAGCTGAGGTAGGTGTCATACTGTTGGGTGGATGACACAGAATATTTACATTAAACTAGGAATGTTTTATATGTTATCTCTAAGAATAAAAGCTACTTTCTGTAAAAGTGTCTAGTAAGAAATTTATGGATAAAAAAATTATGAAATGGTCTTGCTAAGTCGCCCAGGCTGGCCTTGATCTTTGTGTTCTCCTGCCTCAGCCTGAGTGCCAGGTCGAGAGAGTTTTGTTGTAAAGTTATTTGTGTGGTAGTGCTTGATCTTTTCTATATTAATAATGATTTATAGCATGAAAGTTTCATTATAGGTTTTTTATTAAAAATATGATAAATATTGTAAATAGGTTGACATGCTAAATAGTGTTAAAATGTTTATTTGCATAAAATTAACGTTTCACTAAATAGCAATTTAAAATATTAGAACATACGTTATATTTTTTCTTTTTTTCATGCATTATATTTTGTACACAGCCAGCACTGTCTAGTAAAAATTTGAATTATGAATTTTTTCCTATGAATTTAATAAACTTAGTTGTATAATGTAAATACATGTATGTATCTGTGTGTGCTAGTCCTAAGGCTTGAACTCTGGGCTTGGGCTCTGTCCCTCAGCTCTTCAGCTCAAGGTGAGTGCTCTGCCACTTGAGCCACAACCGCACTTCTGGTTTTTTGGTGGCTAATTGGAGATAAGAATTTCATGGACTTCACTGTCTGAGCTGGCATCGGTCTGTGGTCCTCAAGATTTAAGCCTCCTAGGAAGCTAGGGTTACAGGCATAAGCCACTGGTGCCTGATTGTAAACATGTCTTGCTGTTTATTAGCATTTAATTTTGGTAAACATTTATAAGACTGTATAATAGTTTGAATGAAAAGCTTATAAAAATTTCTTTGTAGGCTTATCTTCGTTATTAATTTAGAATAACAGTTATATAGGTAAATTACACTTATGTAGTTTGTAGAGTTGGGAGAATATATGTGGTGTAAAATTGAATTGTTGCATATTAAAAAACTTACCTAAAGAATTTTCTTTTTCTTTTAGTTAGATTCATAGTACTAAAATTAGTTTTACTTTGTCTGACTTATGGAGAAAATCTTTTTGGTAAATTGTTACTAAAGGTTCATACTTCAATTTTTAGGAGAACCTATGTTCCTTCACAAAAGATGCATATACTTTAATATATAAAGATCTCCCATTTGAAACTCTGGAAGTTGAAGCAAAAGTGGCATTGGAAATATTTCAACACAACAAGTAGGTGCTGATTTTATTTAAAGCAAGGTTATACCTCCCTAAACTATGTGTATATTGAAGTGCAGCTTTAAGAACATCTAGGAAGTCCTAACTTCAAACTCCAATATTGCCTTTGCCAAAAGAACTTTTATATGTGACGTACATATGACATCATTTTCTGTTCTGAAAGCTCTTTTTCGGTACCAGTTTCATTGTTGATATCACTGAGAAAAAGGTTCCTAATGTCTCCTGGTAACTTTTTTGTTTCTTTTCTGTCTCTTCAGTCAGTTTTTTTCTCCATATCAACATAGTAGTATAGTTCCTTTTTTCCATCCAATCTTGAGGTGATAACATAAGTTAAGCAACTGTGTTATTTTGTGTCCTTGAAAGCCCTTCCATCTCTCTCTCTCTCACACTGAGTGAAAGAGTGTAAGATCGAAGGCACTCCGGAGGACACCGAAGTCAAGTGCTCATTACTCTTTCTGCTTTTATTTTTTTTGTTAAGATGTTGTACAGAGGGGTTACATGAATAAGGCAATGAGTACTACTCTTTCTGCATTTCAGGTACAAAATAGACTTCATAGAAGAGAAGGCATCTGAGAACCCTGAGAGAATAGTCAAGCTGCACAGGTAGGTGCAAGTCTAAATGCTGACTACTGTGCTCAATACAGCGCAGCTTTGCTGTTCTGATAGATGAATAGACAGATGAATTTTGCACCATATTTTGAGATGTATTTTGTACTGTATTTTGCCATTTTTATTGCCTTATTTTCTATTGCTTTGTAGTAAATAGCAAATGAAAGCTTTAAATTATCTTTAAAGGGACAACTGTGTTCCTCATTTTATTGTTTGTTTTTATTCATTCCCAGAATTTAAAAATATTATTTCTGAGTTAATTTTGAATTTAGGCAGATGTTTATTTGCTCTGAATTGAACAGTACTCCTAGTTCACATACAGTCTGAATACCAGTTAGTTTTTATTTAGTTATATGTAAGCAAGTTAAAATGGAATGTGCTTTCTACATGAATGAGGACAGTCCACTGCTTATGTTGATGTTTTCCTTGGGCAGCAAGCCTGCACTGCAGGCTTTGTGGCCTGCATCTGCTTCTCAACACATTTTCTTGATTGGGGTTTAGCCTTTTTTCTTCTCAACATATCTTTGTTTCTGGACCCAGTCTGTCCTGCATGCTGCATTATAAGCTCTGTTGCAATGGGTTACTACCAGGTTTTGGTTGACCAGGTTTAGACAATTGTATGAACTTGAAACCTGTTGTGTTCCATGATTCTTAAAAGACCTTTCACTTAATATGAATACAAATTAAGAGAAAGAGTCACTTGGTTTCATTTTTACTTTATGGATTGTATGTCATGGATTATGTTAGGTGGAATCAAAAGTTCCTTAATTTTTCACTTTTTAAAATCATCTGTAAATAGTTGTGCAAGTTATAAAATTATTTTTAAATATTTGTACAAAGTTTACTAGCTGTAAATAGTCATATAGTTTTGAGATACTTATGTGTACAACGCATCCTGATCATTATCACCCCTTCTGTCATTTTCCCCGTTTACTCCACCTTCACCCATCTCCTCAAATTACCTAATTTTGTTTTCACGTATGTTCGTTTACTATTATGACTGTGTTTGCCATGTAGAGCCATGTAGATTGTTTTTTGAAGAGAAATGTAGCAGCAAAGAGAGTGAATAGACTTCAGTTTTTAAGTTATAAATGATTTCATGTGAGGTTTTGTTTACTTTGTGCATCAAATCAGAATTGGCGACTTCATTGATGTGAGTGAGGGCCCTCTTATTCCAAGAACAAGCACTTGTTTCCAGTATGAAGTGTCTGCAGTTCACAATCTTCAGCACTCTCAGTCACCTCTTATACGAAGGTTCCAGGGTCTGTCTTTACCCACCCACTTAAGAGTAAGCAATTCTTTATTTTCCAGCCCTTGCATTCGGAATGACTTGATTCTAGACTTAATTTATCTATAGTTTTAAGGACATAGACTTGAATTTTCCTTAAATTGTGTGCTACAAATACCAGTATTTTGTAAACTTCTTTTTGAGTAAAAATCAGTTTTTCGCAGGATATATACGTTAACTCATTAAAAAATTGTTGAAAAAATTAAAAGAGATAGTAGTTTTCATTTTCTACAGTAGCAAAAACAAAGATGCAGTGAGGCAGTATGGAATGCATATTAATAATATGCATTATTAATATTCTGGCACGCTTTTGGCCTTACATTTTTGATTGCTTATGATTTATGCCACTACCAGGGCCTTGTGCTCTCATTCAGGCTTTTTTGCTCACGATCGGTGCTCTATTTGAGCCATGCCTATAGTCCTGATTCCTTGTGATTTAAATAATCTCTAGCACATTGAAATTCATAGCAAATGTTTGCTTTTCAGGTACAGTTTACAATATGGTCTAAATTATTGGAAAGATCTCGGAAAATGGTAAGCTTTTTAAGAAGATTATTGTTACTTATAAGGTATTATACAGAAAGGCTACTATTTCATAACTTAGGTAATGAGTACATTTCTTTTTGGGGCTTTTGTACACAGCTCAAGCTTCTTTCTATAAAAAAATGTACTTTGAAATTAAATAACAACAACCAAGAGGAGGATGGAAGAATAACAGCTAACCAAGTGGTGTCTTTTTTTTCTTTTTTGGTTGTGGAGCTTGAATGAACTCAGACCCTGGGCCTGTTTGTGTTCAAGGCTAGTGCTCTGTCACTTGAGCCACATCACCACTTCTGGTTTTTGAGTGGTTAATTGGAGATAAGAGGCTCCCGGATTTTTCTGTCTGGGCTGGCTTTAACAGCAATCCTCAGATCTCTGCCTCCTGAGTAGCTAGGGTTAGTGAGTATCTTATTAGCCACATAAACATTTTGATGATATACCTTAGTAGTAGTTGGTAGGAGTAAGGCTCTAACTGGCTTTGAAAGCAATCCTCAGATCTCTGTCTCCTGAGTATTTAGGGTTAGTGAGTATCTTATTAGCCACATCAGCGTTTTGATGATATACCTTAGTAGTAGTTGGTAGGAATAAAGGTCTGAGTTGTCAATTCTCATATGATTTTTGTTAGTTGAAATAATATTGTAGAACTTCAAAAGAAATGAGAACATTACAGTATGATAGTAATTATTCTTAATAGCTGTACTGACATTAATTATTAAGTCTTAGAATTTGTTTTTGTAAACTTCAGAAGTATTTAAAGAGTAAAGACTTACCAGATACATTTTAAAACCAACTTGACTCTTGACATTGAATGTGAAATATCCTAAAAGCCAGATTTAAATGTGTCTTTAACATTTAATTTTCGTGAGTATATTTTGTGAGTTACTTGACCACTTGAGCTTTTCCTCTTGTCCCTTATTTTCTATTACTCTATGAATACTGCACTCCCGTGCGCCGAGGCTACAGGAGGCTGAGATCTGAGAGTTGTAGTTCAAAGCTAGCTTGGGCAAGAAAAGTCTGTAAGACTCTCCAATTAATGACCAGAAAACTGGAAGTGGCGCTGTGGCTCAAGTGGTAGAGCACTTGCCTTGAGCTAGGAGCTGAGGGACAGCGCCCAGGCCCAGAGTTCAAGCCCCACAACCGACCAAAACAAAAAGAAAAAAAAATCATAGACAATGAATTGTTGTGCTGATCATCATCTTATATTTGGCAACCATTCACTTAAAAAAAAAATACTGCGCTCAAGCTTGTAGGCAAATGCACTGATTAGTACACATGAAATTTCAAGTTTGTGTGTTTCTTCAGAACAGTTTGTCTGGTTTTTTTCTGAATACTTCTCACGGAATACAAATAGGAATAAGAGCTTCTGCTGTGAGTGGTGTTTACGTGGCAGTGGGACTGCTTGCTGTGCAGAATCCACTTGAAGAGATTTTGGAAGCATAAGTTTCTGTGTGTGGGGAGCAGGTCCCTGTGCCCTCTCTCAAAAACAAACCAAAAAGGAAGAGAGGAAGGAAAAGAGGGAGAGAAGGGAAGATGGGAAAGAAGAAAGGAAAATTGTACTAAAGGCATCTAGTTATGCTGTTCTAAATCCAGTTATACCACACCATATAATAAATTCAAAATACCTTGTATGAGAATCTTGGTACTTTTTCTCTTATACCAATGTTTATTTTATAGATGAAGAATAAAATGATAAACAGGGGTGATTTTGAATAGAAATATACTTTGCTTGATAATTTGTATTGGTAATTTGGCTTTTACATCTTTCTAATTGTTCCATTAAACTTTTTATAATCATAGTGAAGGGAGGTGGACTGTGGATGGACTTAAAACAGGCGGTTGAAGGGTCAGACAAAAGTATTTTATTGGAGAAGTAAAGCTATTCATGTTTTTACAGGTTACTGAAGATCGAACTAAACCAACAGAGGGCATTGCATCTACCTAATAACTTGCCAAAATTTAAATATATATAGTAAATTAAAATAAAAGCTTTTAATACAACATTTGTATGTGCTTTTAAAAGTTAACTGTTCTTTTTTTCCCCTTAGATTTGTTTTTCTGACGGTTAAAACTACCTTGTTCATGGTAAAAATTTCACACAGAAATAACTCTTTCCCTTCCTTCTCCATGTACATTAGCAGGTTTTTTCCTTTGCTGTGTACATATACACAAATGTACAAATATGCTTGTCTTCTTTTCACTTTTCAAGCAGTGGTGCAGTAAATGTCCTTGTGCAAAATGGCAGTTGTTTGTAAATCAAGACCGATGTTAATGACATTCATTTAATCCTTATAATAACCCATGGAAATAGTGTTTCCATTTCAAAATGATAACTGAGAGAGTTTGCAAGTTGTACATTTGGAATGTAAACAAAGGCAATTCCACTGCCATTTTATAGGTGTAGTTTCTGGTAGTAAAATTATGATACATGATAGAAGATACCTACCTGGAGGTCTTCCCAGCATCAGTGACTAATAAGTCTGTTTACACTCTGAACAAACATCTACTATTGTTCCTTTTGAGTATTTTTCCAAAAAATTCCTGCTCTAGTCTAAATAGCCTTTTTGAAACTGGTGTACCAGCTTAAAAGATCTTAGTGTATGGAATCTTCTTCCTAGAGTTCATTTATTTTTGTATTTCTTTTTTGGTAGTATTGGGATTTGAACTCAAGGCCTTATGCTTGGTAAGCAAGCTTTGGGCTCTGCCACTGTGGCCACACTCTGCCCTTTTTGCTCTTGCTTTTCAGATATCCTCTTAATCTCTACAACTCTAGATCATCTCCCATTCTAATCTTCTGTTTCTTGATTAACTCTCATTGTGCTTCTGGAGTTCATCCTCTTTTTTTTCCCTCCCATGTTTGGTTACTGAAAGTTTGAACTCAGGAGTTTGTGCTTGTTCGGTAAGAACTCCCTCACCTCTTCCACTTGAACCCACATATCTGGGATCATCTGTACATTTCTAGACCGTGTTGTTTTTGTGTGTGGTAGTACACATATCCAGTCCCAACTATTCAGGAAGCAGAAGTAGAAGGATTGTCATACAGGGTCAGTCCCAGGTAAAGGTAGGACCCCTCTGACAAAATCAAGAGAGCTAAAGGCATGGCTCAAGTTGTAGAGTGTTTGCCTGGCGAGCATGAGGCCCTGAGTTCAAATCCTTTATCAACCATTACTCCAATAATAATTTTTAAAAAGGTGCCCTCACCTCGTTAACCAGGCTGCTAAGTGACTGTCTCCACAGATTTCCCAACCTCAAGAAGTAGAGGGAGCAAAACTCCTGGGGAGGGGGTAGGGAGGCACAAAGGCTAGTACAGGACCCGCTGCTGCTAAGACCCAGCACAGACCAAAAGCAAAGACCAGAGCTTGCAGATCTCTGTAGCTGATTTCTTGATCTAAAAAATTGAGAACAAAATTGATTCTTGATCCAGAGAATTAAGTAGAATAAAATTAATTCTTGAGCTACCTATAATGAATCCATATAAGTCAACTTGAAAAATAGTTCCTTCAAATTGGAACACATAGATGCTGAGTGCAGTCTATAGCAAAAGAACACATTGAAGTTCCAATGTCAATGGAGACTAGGATGTAATTCCTGATTCAGTACACTTGTGAGTGAGGCCCTGAGCTGAGTGCAACTTGGAAAAGTTAAAAAGGATAATTCTTTTCTCCAGGAACTTAGTATAGAGAAGAAAGCATTTCACAGACTACAGATTGCAGGTTGGCCACAACATGGGGCAATTTACTGGGGCTATTTGGGGGAGAGCAGAGGAGAAAGTTCAATTTGTGTAATCCTTCTTAGAGTTCTTTTATGGATATGCATCACATAGGTTAAAGGATGAAATTGTTGAGCTTCTGGAATTTGAGGAAGGATAAGATATTCTGTATGTGCCCTGGATTTGGTTATAATGGTTGTTTATGTTTTGACAACCCAGGTGTGAGGGGAAATGGTATAGCAATGACATAGTGACCATGCCATTGTTTAGTTCACTCTGCAATGCAGGAACAAGTACCCAGCTCTTTGGCCTTTTATCTATTAGACAACAGTACAGAGTCACTGATTGGTGGCAGCTGGTTGTAGAACACCAGTTGATTTCAGTGGAGGAATTAAAGTCAGGTAGATGTTGTTGAGGTGATCAGGATGTTTTCAGAGGAGAAGGATGCTGAAATTCTGAGTTTAATTGCAGTCTATCATGAAAGAAGTGAAGACAGGACATGTCTTACCATTTGTCTACTGTGTAGCTGCTTCTCATTACATAGAGTGAACAGTGTCTACCCACAGATACATATGTTGTAGAAGTTCTGCTGAGCATGTTCTAATTACCACCTCAGCAGTAGTATTGAATGTGACCTACTGTTTCTAGAGGTGGTTTGTGAACCACCAGAATCTAGATCACCTGGCTTCCTAGTAAAAAAAGAATGTCAGCCCCAGTAGAGGATCTAGAGGATCAGAATCCCTGCTAGGAGACTGTATGTGGACCAGCTACTTTAAGAATCACTGCTCTTACTTGCCAGTTACATATGGTATTTTTAAGTTATTTGGTATAGTGATTTTTATTGCTCAAAAGTCACTCCTTTAACCTGGTGTTATTATTTGTTTTATTTTGGCAGTACTGGGGATGAAACTTGGGGCCTCACGGTTATGTGGCTTTCTTGTTTGGCTGGCGTTCTTACCCCTTGAACTGCACCTTCAGCTTTGCTTTTTTGCTGGTTATTTTGGAGATGCAGTCTCATGACTTTTCTGCCTGGGTTAGCTTCAAATTACGATCCTTTGGATCTTAGACCCATGAATAGCTAGGATGACAGGCATAAGCCACCAGTGCCTGGCCCAGTATTCACTATATTAAAACACATTTCTGTTTTTAGAATTGAACTTGAATAATAATGTGGTGATTAAGTTAGTAGGCATTTGAGAGGCTCAGAAATGTGAAAGATACTGGTTCAGTTCTTACAGATATTACTTCCTCCAGTGCAGGTAGGCATTAAATCATGATACTGTGAGTTGAGTGTGCCTGAACTTGGAAATCCCTGAGCATTTCAGGGAAGGGTGGAAGGATGACTGAAGACAAAGAAAACATTGTTGTGATGACATTTACAGAATCTTCCAGTATTTACGTTTGACAGGTGAGCATGCATACTGGAACATCTAGATTTGTTAGAAATACAGCAAAAATAGGGAAAAAGAGTCCTTGTGTAAACATTATTTCCTTATCCTTATTTCTGTGGGAAAATTTGAAACCCAAAGTGGAAAGCTGAACTCTAGTGGGCAGGTTTTCCAGTCTTTGTTAGTAGAGAAGCGCATATTCTTTCTTTAGCTCTTCATGTCGGTGCTTTCATTTGTGAATTCTGAGTATTTTTCTCAAACTTCCTTTTCTCTAAAAGCTACCCACTTTCTTTGGGGTGCTGGCCATGATCTATTTGCAGGGAATGGCTAATATCTTGTGTCTTCTATAAATCAGTTCTACTTTTAATTAATTTGCTGCATGGTCACATACGGGACAGTTGTCTTGATATTATTCATTTTAAAAAGATGTAACTAATGTGTCAGTCAATTCAATCTTATGGGTACAGTCTTGTGTGTACAAAATTGGATCATGTGTTGCTATTACGTTTTCCAAAACCCCCAGAACACTCTATTATGTTTAACCATTCTTAGCTTGTCACTTTAAACACACACGTGCATGCATGAGCGCACGTGTACACACACACACACACACACACACGTTACCCTGTTTTGAGTCCAAACACACACCCAGTCTTACTCATACTACAAGAGTTTTTGGAATGACTGGATGTGTTGTCAAGAGGAACCCATCTTAAGATCAGGAGATCAGCAAACAAAGCCTAGGAAAGTTGGACCTCAGAGAAAAATCCAGTGCCTCTGGTCAAATATCTAGATTCTTTCACTGGTCATAATGGTCAAATAAGTTGCCTGAGTTCCAAATGCTCTGCAAACAAGAGATGTTGCAATAGCTTTCCTTAGAACTCCTTTGTGATCAGCAGTAAGATAATTCTAATCCTAATATTCTGTGAGTCTGGCTGTAGGCAGCAAAAAAGGTTTTGAGAAATAGGGAGTTTCTTTTGAAGATACAACACACAGATTAAATAGTCCAAAGAATCAGCCTTGAATGTGATGTTCATACCTGGGTGCAAGTTCACTGCAGGGATTAGAAGGAGAAATTTATCTTGGCAGCACACATAGCTTCAGCAGAAAGGTATGACTGAGGTTAAGCAGCACCCTCACGAGAGTATGCTATGATTCAAGAACATTACCTTCACTGTCCTTATAATTTTTCCATTGGTTTCTTTTAGTGTAAATATTTTCTGAAATTACAACTGTACTTTAAAATTAAAAAAGACCACAGCAACAAAATATCACTTCATGAAATTTACTTGGTTACCATGAGTAACCAAACATTGTACAAAACATTCAGAATTAGTAAAATATACATTAAACATGCTAACAATTACATGTGGCTGTGTATTTGTGATAGTTATGGAAAATGGTTACATAGAAATCCAAGTCTTTATACTTCAGTAAAGTGTCAAGTCCTCGATTTTTTCTAATAAAATAGGAAAAGTATTTCTTCATTTAATTTCATGACAACATTAATATAGCATTTTATCAATTTACAAAATAGTTCTGAATCTCAAGCCTTACAGCAGCCTTTTACTAATTCAGATAAGGCAAGCTCTCAAATCCAAATATCTTGTTTTCACTTATGTGGAATACAGTCCTGAAATGATGGTGATTATGATGATAATGGACACATTGTAAAGTGAGGGATTTTTTGTGGGTACCAACAGGAGTTGGAGGAGGAAAGAACAGGGTATTAGGTAGTGAATAGGATCAAAGACTATTACACATGCCTGTAATCCTAGCTACTCAGTAGGTTGAGAGCTGAAGATGATGATTCAAAGCCAGCCTGTGTAGGAAAGTCTGTGAGACTAATTAGTTACCAGAAATCTGGAAGTGGAACTGTAGCTCAAAAAAGCTCAGGGATAGCA